GGATAACTCGTGACGACAATGCTGTCACCACTTCAAATTCCCCGCCTGCGCTGATATCCTCAAACGGGTCCATCTTCTGCGCATACTTCTTGCACACTTCAACGGCTTTCCATGTACCATCTTCTGTCTTGATCATCGTGCTTCTGTACGGAAAATCCTCCGTACGGTACATGTCCGTGGGATCTTTGTACTTCGACTGCGCCGGGGAGTAGTGCACAACCACAATGCTGTCTGTATCATGCCAGCCAGGTTCTTGCTTTCTTGCTGCATCAGCTATGTGGGAGTTCAGCTGAATGACGGTGCGAACGTGTTCCTGCTCCAGGTTCACATAGGCTTCGCTCTCATACCTCTTTCCTGCTTGCAAGTAAGCATAAGTAGCCAGCGAGTTCTTGTGGTAGTGAACAGGGATGTCTGACATTCCGTCTGACAACATCAAGCCATCATCCTTCTTGACAATCTCCCAGCCATTCTTGAGTAGCTTTCCGACTGCCAACAAAGGATTGACCACATTCGCAACGATGAAGCATTCTTGCATCTTGACTGCTTCTTGCTTCGAGCTGAACATAGTCAAGTTGATTGCTCTCTTTCCTTTTACAGGAATCTTTCTTCCTTGTGCGTCTCTGATGCCTGAATCGTTCTTCTTCTTCACAGGCACTCCCTCTTTGCCAAGCCACAGAGGAATGAGGCTGACATCGGCGCCACTGTCCAAGATCACTTCTATCTTCTCATAGACAGGACTGCTCTCATAAAATGATTCTTGGACTGCACGGACACAAAGGTTGCAATCTTCTTCGTGCTCACAACCATCTTTCCACCACAACATCAAAGGATCATCTTCTTCTTGGTGCTCGTGTTCTTCTTCTTCTTGCTCTGCATCACTAAGCTGAAATTCTTCAACACGTAGCACACGACCAAAATAGTCAATCTCAAGTTCTTCTTCTGCCTCCGTGTCGACTTCGAAAACTTCTGGATACTGTTGTGGAGGATCTCCAATGTGGATCATGGAGATTTGACGCACGGTCTTTGCTTGGTTCCTGCTGACGCTCGTCACGTTCGTGGTGCTTGACGTGCTTGGTGCTGCAGTAGAACTGGCTGCTGTGGTACTTTGCTGGTCGTCGTTCACGTTTCGAACATCACCAAAATCTCTCTGCTTCTGTCTGCATTGGGCTTCAAAGTGACCAGGCTTTCCACAATAATGACAACACTGAGGACCAAAGCTTCCTTTTCCGCGTCCTTTTCCAAATCCACGACCAAATCCTTTTCCACGACCGAAACGACCGCGACCTCGACCACGACCTTTTCCTCTTCCTCGTCCTTTGGAGTTGTAGCCGTAGTCGTTGCCATACTTGCCTTTTCCTTTGGACTTTCCTTTCCTCCATTTTCCTTTGCCCTTTCCTTTGCCTTTGCTGAACTTTCCTTTTCCTTTTCCTTTGGATCTCCAGGGCCTTTTTCTATCATCTTTGTTCACGTTGCTGACATCCATGTCTGCTTGTCCACCGTGGTCGTTGCCGGCGTTGATCAAGTCAGTTGTGGTCCAGCGCGTGTTTTGCTCATAGGACAGGAGAAACTGACGAAGACTTGAATACTTTGTATCATCTCTCAAATTGAGCAACATGTGTTGTCGAAGTTGACCATCTTGCTGATTGAGGATAATTGAAATCTTCAAATCATCTTGCACCACATCTCCTGATGCCTTTTCATACTGCTCGATTGCTTCTTCGAATGCAAGGATGTTCTCCATGGTGGTCTTCTTGTTTTCAAACTTGTACTTCGTGAGGCTAGTCAGCAAACGAAGACTTCTACCACGAGTGTAGGGTTCGTGTTCTTCGAGCAAAATTCTCCATGCTTCTAAACCATTCTCCTCTGTAATCTGCTTGATCGTTCTCAATGGGCGACCTTTCGTGTACGAAGTGAGGATCGTGTAGAGCTTCTTGCTAACGGCTTTGTGCTCGTCACTCAAGGTGGAAAACTCAACAGCTTCACTTCTCTTTGCTTCAACGGCTTCAATTCTTGCTAACATCTCTGGGTCCAACGCTCCAATCCAGGTTCGCATCTTGTGTCTGAATTCACTCCAGCCTTCATGCTCTTCTTTGAAACTGCTTGGGTTGAACACGTCGGGGGTCTTGATCATCTTGTGCAACTCGACATCTCCCTTCTCTCTTCTCTTTTCTCTTTCTGCTTGTGCTTGTTCTCGTGCTTCTTGATGCTCACGAAAATCTCGATGCATTTGACCCATATTGTTGATCATGCTTGCTGCCTCGTGGACCGCTGTGCTCGTTCTTGTAGCCACTTGTAGCATGTTGCGAAACATTTCTCTCATCTCGCCTTCACTGGCTGCTGCTGCACTTTGAGCTGCTGTGCTTGCTTGCTGCTGCTGGGATGCTTGCTGCTGAACTGCGCTAACCAGGTCGTTTATCTGTTGGGTGTTCGTTGCTGTCTGCTGGGCCAAAGATTGCATTGCTTGCTCCATCTGGGCGTTCATGGCTTCAGCTGCTTGCGTGTTTGTGTACAGCAACACAATGAACATGAGCGTCTTCTTCTGAACACCACATGCACGAACTTCTTGATACCTGGCTCTCCTCGAAACTCTTCTCTTCAAACACTCTTTTCTTTTGCTTTGGATGGCACACATGTTGTACAGGCTGATCCAAGTAACCAAACCAATCGGGGTGCACATCACGATCATCAACACGAAAATAATTTCTTTCTGCTTGTGAAACATGACTGAGATCTCAGGGGCGTAGCTCGACTCAAGGCTTCGAAGGAATCTTCTTGTACCTTCACACCATCTTTTCACCTCAATCTTCAAATTCGTGATGTCGAAGTTTCTTGATGCTTCAAATCCTGCGATCATGTACTTCACAATCTCGAGGTTGTAGTTGTCTTCGTTGTCTTGATCTTCATAGCGTATTGGGGCTTCTTTGGTTTGACGACGCTGCAAACTGAAGGACATGAGCTCCACATGTTCTGTCTCTTCTCTCTCTCTTCTCACATGCACATTCTTGCTGCTTCCACCAAGTGCATGAGTCGCATGCTGCACCTCGGCATGCTCATCCTCCAAGGCAATAGTCTTCAGGTCATCCTGGAGGGAAATCGAATTCCTGGGCAGCGGCTTTGACATAACGAGCTCTGCTTCATCTAGCAATATCTCTGTACTGCTTCTTGCTGCCTTTGCTTTCACATTCTTGATCATCAACAACCAACCTTCTGCTGTAACGAGCCCTGCACAAAGTAGAAGAACTGCACTGCAAAGGACTCTCATCCAGAAACCACATCCAGTCATCTGGGTAAACCTCCTTCTCTTTACTTCTGTCTGCCCTTGAATGTAAACATAGCCATCTGGAAAGCAAACTCTACATCCAGGTGCACGTACGACTTGCGCCTGATCCGCACTGTCCAGGCCACGGCATTCTCGATGCTTGTGCACTGCTGTTCTTGACTTTGCAATGTAAACATCAGGCATGAACTCTTCATGGGCGACAGTCTCGATCTCTCGCTCTTCAGTTGCAATCTCTCGCAAGACCGACCACGCCATTCCTGCTAAAATGCTGCTCATGAAAACCAGCACTGCAAACAGGAACAATTCCTGCTGCCATCTTCCTGAACTCAAAGCGTCCAGGGCACCACTGCTTGCTGCAACTGTCTGCTCTGCCATCTGCTGAAGGTTCTGGAGGTTGCTGGCACACACTTCTCGCACAGACATGAAAACCATCATGCTCCATGGAAAAATCTTCGTCCATCCAGCTTGCTGTAGCATCATCGCACCCTGACTCAGGTGCTCCGCTACCATGTTGAAAAACGTGGTAAACATCATGGCTCACTTTTCCTACCACGCTCTAAAGGCAAAACAACTTTTCTCGCTTTCGACTCTTGAGCCTAAGCCTCCGGTGTCAAACTCGTTCTGCTCAGACTCAACATGCCTTAGGGCATTTGGTGTCTTTCCTACTGCACCCATTCACTATACCTGGATACATGCTGTACACTTAACAGTTTAGAGTCTCACTTCTCTGGCCTTGAAGAATGAAAAGGTTTCAGAGGGGTGGAATTTAGAATAAATCCCTTCTCTCTTTTCTTAAAGAATAAAATTAAACCAAAAGGGCGTCTCAACACCTTCAACACCCTTTAAGCTCCTCTCCTGAAGCCACTTAAACCCCCCCTTAAGCTCCCCCTTAAGCCCCCCCCTTAAGCTCCCCCTTAAGCCCCCCCTGAAGCCCCCTCTGATAAGGTGGTGGAAGCAAAATTCTCGACTCTTCTCTTCTTCCATTTAGCCCTCCTTCACGCTCCCTTTAAGCAATGACTTTTTTTCGGGGAAGGCAAAGGGTCAAACCCTTCAAGCCCGCCCCAGCTCCCTTAAGCCCACCTGAAGCCTCCCTTAAGCCCCTTAACTCCCCTTAGAAGCGCCTTCAAAGGGTCTGGCTCCGAAAAGTCTTGACACCGTTCAAGAGCTTCCAAAGGTTCTCCAAAACGTTGGTTCCAGTCAAAGCTCCCCAAGCTTCAACTAAGCAAGCAAAGCTGCCACTCGGACACTTTCTTTTTCTCACTCTCGCCTTGAGCCAAACAAGTCCAGTTCTTCTGAGCTCATGCTGCTGGCAAGAAACTGTACGTGAGTCCTACTTCACAGACAAACAAAAGCAAGGTCATGCAAACGTTCCCCTCAGAGTCTTCTGCATACTAAGCGCAACCAAGTGCATCTCAGGACACACTCAAAGGTCCAGGTGCTTCACACCTTACTCTCATCACTGAGGCACTTCTCGACCAAGCTCGAATTCACAAAGCTCAAGGTAAAACTCAAGCATGCTCCAAAACACTCATGCTCACAAAACATGCTCTCCACATGTCTTCGACATGCATCCAAACATGCCAGTGCAACTCAACAACAAAACTCCTGCAAGGTTCTTCTCGAAACTGAGTGTGTGTCGCTTCTGTTCGTCAAAACCGAAAAACAAGAAAAACCAACCACCAAGCAAACGAAGTCTCGGCTCCATTGGTGATGAAATTCTTTACCCCCTCTTGGAGGCGAGCGTACGAAGTTTGCGTTGGCAATCCCGGCAGACCACGTATGTCTTCTTGTCCCGAAAACGCAGATGTCCACAAGACTCATCCACGTGGGCCACTTCACTCTTTGCAATGAAGTACACATTCGGAATCTCAAAGGCAACTGTCCGCGGTTTGCTCGGGCTCTTGTCTGAAGCACTCGCGTGACTGCTACTGTTGACGAGGTGACCATCACGGTTCTTCCCATCACAGTAACAGTTACAACAGCGGCAACACATGTGGACTGCAACATTCACAAGGATGCTCACAGTAAGGAAGACTCCGAAGAGGAGGATCTCCACTGTGTAGTCAGTCTCACTCATTGCTTCGCAGGAAATTAAGAAAAACGAAAAGAGCAACACCCCCTCTCGGCAAAGCGGCTGAGGGTGCGGGCGAGAGCTCATGGCAAGCACGCAACCAATCGTCTGCACAAGTCAAGCGGATAGTGTTGAGTGCTCTTAAGGTCGAAATCGGCACTGTGGGGATGGTCCTTTGTGCATGCAAATGTCTGGAGGGTCTCGCAGAGAACCTTAAGGTCTGTATCAACTCTCCACTGCTTCTTCACAAGCAAGTTGTCTCGTCCTCTCATCCCTACTGCACAACCATGCACTATGGAGGTCATGAGAGTCCTGTGGTGGTCGAATCCAAACTTCTTGGTGGTCCTCCAATGCCAGTACTGACAGGTCTTCGGCCACTCGATCGCAACGAACGGATTCAAACATCCCACAGGCATGTCTTCAACCGGCTTGCAGATAACCTCAAAGTTCTTCCACAACTTTCTCTGGACGCCCCAAACTTTCTTCAAGTAATCTCCATGCCCAGGCCGCTCCAAATGCGTAAACTGCCAAAGACATCCACCAGTGCACGGTGTGGATGACCAAATCAACACGTTTACACCCAATCGACACAAGCGCTCAACGTGTGTTCTCACAATGGCAATCGTCTCATCCAACACTCCGTTCTCACGCTCCGTGATTCTAACCAACTTCACGCTTCCAAGCTCAAGCGCTGCAATGCCAAGATTCGAGTTTTCACTCGTACAAAACTCGACAACCAACCAATGAGCTTCCGCACTCACCGCACTCAAGTTCTGTTCCAGCTCCAAGAGAACTGGAAGATCAGGGCTCTTCCCGAGCATGCGGCACAACTGGGCGCAATCCCAGTCCTCCAACGCCAACAAACCCATGGTGGCTGGCGGAAGTCGCTCAACGATTCCCAACATGTTCAGGTGTCTCTCGTAACTGACCTTTTGGATCGTACTCTTTGTAAAAATGTCTGAGACATTCTCCAAGCCAGACACCCACTCAAGCTTAGCGCGGCCCTCACGCAGCGCTTCTTGTACCCAGCACAACCTGATGTCTATGTGCCTGACTCTCCTGAGGAGTCCGAACATAGAACTGATGTTAATGGCTGCCTGTGAGTCCGAGCGAACAACCGGCGTTTCAACATCTTTCCCAAAGACGTGTCTCACCATGACGCACAATCCCAAGGCCTCTTTCATTCCCTCGCAGATAGCGGTTAACTCCGCTTCCGCGCTGGACAGCGCAATTGAAGTCTGCTGCCTGGTGTAAGCCTTCACCGGGGCCCCGTCGAGAAACAACACGCCTCCAGACAACGACCGCCGAGAGTTATTTCTCTCAGACGCCCAGTTGCTATCAACGTACACAACGATGGTCCCAGCGTCTCCATCACAACTGAGAAGCTGCTCATGGTGCTCAACCGACATCAAGTACCTCAAGAACGCTCGCAGGCACATCTCATGGACAGCTAGGGGCTGCGACTGGCCCCTGCTCAACACACTGATGAAGTACGTCAAGTCAATCCGTGTCTGGGCGCCCCAGGCGACCTTGCCGACTGCGCTCCTATACTTCGCACTAGCTTCTGCACTCAAAGGCTGTTGTTGGGACTCCATTCCATCATCCAGAATCTTCCTCAAGTCCGGGGGAACCAGACTCGGCTTCCGGATGCCATAGGCTTCATATGTCGAGTGGAAATACCCCACAGGGAGGCCAACAAGGATTCCATCCGTCTCACTGTCTCTCCGGATAGTCCTGCCAAGGAATTCAACTTTCTTGTCTCTGGACAGGATTCCAGTGACTTTAATCTTGACCTGCTTGGCTAGACATTCAACAAAGTGCTTCGCTGCTGGCAGGAAACGACAACCAACCATGAGATCATCAACATACGCAAGGAGGACCATGTAGTAATGTGTTCCATCAAACAAAAACCATCCAGCAAAGACGGTCTTTTCGGTCTCACACGCAAACAGCCCCAACTCTTCGACCAACTCGGCAAGCATCTTATACCAAGCCAACGACGCTGATCTTAGGCCATACAGGCTCTTGTTGAGCTTCATGTAAGCTCTGGAGTTGTCTGGGAACCGAATGTTTGTGGGCAACATCACAACTTCAGGACTCACCACCTTAGCGAACAAAAAGGCTGTACTAACGTCTGCAAGGATAATATCGCTTCCGCTGGATGCAATGAACACTAGGAAGGTCCTGAAGGCCTCGTTGGAAGAGGTCGGCGAGCTGATCCCCAGCTCCTGCGCAGTTGGATTGCCTGAGGCATAGTCGCGAACTACGACCCTCGACCTGACAATTTTCTGCTTTGTTTCACCTTCCTTCTTGTCAACAGACACCCAACGCGTGGTGAGGATGCGGATGTTGTGCTCCTTAGCGTACTCGTCCGCCTCCTGCTTTGTCACTAGATCACCTACATTCAAGGCATCAAGGGCTTTCACTTCTTTCGTCATCCCCTCAGCGGTGAGCTGTGGATCCAACGGCTTTCCGGTCGTGTCGTCCTTAACAAACTTGGGCCGCTGCAAGCACACCTTTCTGCCTCGAATCTCAAGATCGATCCAGCTTTCGTCCTCTACTGCGTTGTAGACACTCGTTCTGAAAAACACACTGGCAACGACTGATGTGATTGCGTCCTCAGATGCAAATGACAGCTTCTGAGGTTCAGGCGTCTCAACGAACCTATCCATCATCTCTACGTCCTCGACTCCTGGATCGGATCTAGGGTCCTCAGACGGTCCTGGAGATTCTGGCAACCAAGCTGGCAAGGCTTCACGTTCAAGCTCGGGCTGAAAGGGTTCTTCACTATCGCAACCAACACCCCCTCTAGGCTCATAGTCCCCATCTCTCGGGACGTCGGCCTCGATTCTCTCAAGGTCATCGGGAACGTCAAGCTCAACTTCTGGCATTCCACCGTCATGCTGCACGTCACCTATTCCCTGAGGGGACTCAAGCGGTCTTGGAGGCTCATTGGGCTGCATCTCACCTTTCAACCAAGCTTGATACCTACGTCTGCAGGTCCTACTGTGATTCACGGCGTGTGTAGAACCCCTCTGGCATGCTGTACACCTTCGTGTGGCTCCATGCTCTGCAAAGAACTCAGCTGGCGGATTCCCACCGGGCACGAGCGACAACGGAACGGTCCTCAAGCTGGGGTCCTCAGGGTCTCCAAGTGGCTGCGGCGCAGGGTGCACGCCGCCAACAACCTTTCGACCAAACGTTCCAAGCAACTCAACGTCATACCTCAGAGGCACAACAACTTTGATGGAACTGGCTTGCACCAGCTTTAAGGCTCCATCCGGCAACCTCACATTTACAAGGTGTGATGTCTTGCTCATCATGGGTCCAAGGTAGCAACCAAATGCAAAGCGACCAACAATCAAGTCTTCAACTGCCGACGCATGCGCACAAACGGTCGAACCAAAAGCGTACACCTGATGAGGCTTGTGCTTGTTCCCTCTCAAACGCTGCAAAGGCGAAAGTTCAGACCCAGCCAACTGCGAATATCGGTTGTGGACATGGCAACAATGGTTGTAGAGCAACGCAAACGCACGACTCGTACTCCGAAGCGACACCCCGTGATCCTGCAACTCAACCAAGATAGAATCACCAAGCTCACGCAGGGTCCTCACTGCTCTCTCTGCCGCGGGCGCATGACGCCCTGGGCTGAACTGCTCAATCGGACCATGGAAATTCTGGAATCGCTCAAGCAACTCAACCAACAAGGCACGCATGTAAGGTTCTGCATCGCAACGAAACACGGTCCCAACTTCAACGCCACTCAAGCCAAAGTACCTCAACCATGCTCCCATGTTCTCAAGGATCTGATCCCTAGCTGCTTCGCCATCAACACAACCAACTGCAAACGACTGGGCATGAACCAACACAATGAAACGCTTCTGAAACTTGAAAAACTGATCGATCTGCACCTCATGCTTCATGACCTGGTCCCGTGGCCTCTCGCGAGCTCCTTTGGGCAAACTTCGAGACCTGACACAGACGTCACAAGAGGAACTGAAGGGCTGATGTCCTTGCAACACGTGGCTGATCTTGTCAAAGTCAACAACTTCACGGTCTTTCAAGATCCACCAAACATCATGCTCACTCTCTCCTTCCCCTCTCTCAGTCTCTTCACCCTCATCTCCCAAGCTTGCAAGCACTTCAACCAAGTCACAAAGATCAACCATGCAACGCTCGTTTCTCTTTTCGGTTCCAGTAGAGCAAAAGGCCTCCCAAGCAGCCTTAATGCCTGGTTTTTGAGGTGAAAACGTGTCTCTGTTCACGGCACCGGCGGGGGGCTTTGGTAGCCCTGAGGGCCAAGACCTGTTCTCGGGCCTTCGGCTGGGAACAGGCGGAGGTGGAGGCGGATTCCACAGCTCGTCCCTTATCGGCTCCGGCGGTGGCGGTGCAGGGCATCTCGTTGAGCGCTCCGTCCTTGCCACCAGGTGCACCGTCGACGAGCTGCTCGTGGCTTGCTCCTTCTTCGGCTTGCTTCCCCGCTTCACGCTGCCCTTCCAGGTCTTTGCCGGCATTGCCTTCACTTGTGGTCTCTTCTTCGGCATCGCCTTGACTGTGGGTCTCAAGACCTTTGGCATGGCTTTCGTAGCTGGCTTCGGCTTGGGGTCCGCCTTCCAGGCTTCGAAACTCCTTGCCATGCGCTCCACGCCCTCCACCGCGATCTCGGCCGCAGCTGCGACCTGTGTTCTCAGATCCTCCAGCCTGGCCATCTCCACATCGTGGATCTCGCCCTCGCTCACCACGCTCCAGGCCTTCGCAGCTGGCTCCTCTGAGCTCACGTCGCAGACATCCGAAACCTTCTGGGGCTCGCTGCTGTCCGCTTCCTGCTTCTCCGAGGCCTTCTGGTGGTCCCCGTGGTTCTCCTCCTCGGAGCTGGAGCTGAGCGGCACCCGCGACCCCATGCGGTCTTCGAGTGGTCTCAAGAGACCGTGTCACCAGCCAACCAACGTTGCTAAACCAACAAGTGTACAGCTGACAACGACTGCGGCGCACACTCAAACCCTCAGAATTGATATTTATCGTCCAACCTTTGGTTGCAAGGGAACCTAAGGAAAGCAAACTGTGCTCGCACTCTGTCACAAGACCACGCAGCTCAGCACACACAAGCCTACCTTCTACTGTCAAAAATTGGGCTCTTACTGTTACTCTACGGTTCAGGCTCAGCACTTCACCAGACGCCAAAGAGCAGCGCACCTGGTACTCATCCTCAGCGACCACGGCGACGTGGCCACTATCAAGCAGCCGCTGCGCAATCAAGTGAATGCTTGCTCCACTGTCTGCCAACCAAAGATGATCACACAAGCTCTGGTCTTCAGGGTTCTCTGTTCTTCGAACTGCACGACTAAACACGCTGTTCACGACCATGCTTTCGGGAACTTGGGGTCCATGCAAAGCGCAAAACCAACCATGATCATCCCCGTGTTCTTCGTGTCGTTCAAGCCCATGCAACACATCAAGACAATCATGCCGCTCAAGAAAAACTTCTTCGCCATGCTGGAGACAACCATGTTCTTCAGAAAAACCATGCCCTTCGGGAAAACCATGCTCTTCAGGAAAACCATGTTCTTCGGGAAAACCATGCCCTTCAGGAAAACCATGTTCTTCGGGAAAAACGTCACGGGGAAGTTGCAAAACTGGTCGTTCAGGTAGCACTTCCACCAAGCCCATCGTCACACTTGGCTTCGGCGCCCCCTTTGCTTTAGGCTGGCCAGATGCACCCGAAGGCTTGTCTTTCCGTGGTTCTGGGCAATCTCGAGCAAAGTGCCCCGGCTGCCCGCAGTTGAAACATTTCCCCTTCTTTCCCTCGCTCTGGGCTTTCGGCTTGTCGTCTCTTTTTCCTTTGCCTCGACCAGCACCCTTCTCTGAGGTGCCCTCGTTCTTGCCGCCTTTCTTCCCTTTCCCTTTGCCCTTCTTGCCTTTGCCCTTGTTGAAAGCTGCAATCAACTCTTCAGTCCAAGCGCTCTTCGACGAATGCTTGTGGCCTTCCTTGTCATGCTCGATCACACGCAGATGAGAGTCGTAAAACTTGATGCTCTCCAGGATCTCATTCAGCGTGTCGCTCTTTCCATGCAACAAAACGTAATGCTTGCAGGACTCGGGCATGCACTTCAAGTGAAGCATCATCTTCTCAGGCTCTGTCAAACGAAGACTGCTGTAGCCACTAAGATTTCTATCCGCCTTCAAGAGTTCGGACTCTACTGCTCTGTAGACGTCCAAGGGCCGCACCACATGCTTCCCTGGGCGAAATTGCAAAACAGCTTCACGAAGAGATGTTGCTTCAATTCTCGACTGAACTCCAAACTCCGTGTTCAGTCTCCGAAAGGCTTCGTACCCACATGCTGCTCCAAGCTGTGACTGTTCCGCTTGTCGAACGATGTCTAACGCTCGTTGGAAATCACCCAAAGACTGATGCAGCAAGTGAAGAAATCTCGCAGACCTCGCCGCAGGTCCCTTCTCCAAACTGCTCTGTTGAATCTCGGTGGGGGTGATCATCGCTCGGTACAACTCAGTGGGGTAAAAGTCGTCAAGCAAAGACAACCAAGACATGACTCCCTCAACGTACTGCGACCAAAAACTGATCTCTGAAGTTCGAGTCGTCATCTTCTGGTACTCAAGCATAGGGATCTTGGGAATGTAGCTCTCTGCTTTGGAGTGTCTGACTCCACCAGTGTCCTTGTCCACTTCCATAGGCTCTGGGCCCGTTGAGGACGCTGCTGCTGCCATTCCGCTGCTTGTCTCAGCAGCTCGTGTCAAAGCCGCTGCTTGCATCTCTCCCAACGTCTGCACCAAACCAACCAACTGGCTAATCTGCTGCGACTGTGCCTGCACCATCTGCACTGCCATTTGTGGGTCCAGAGCAGGCGGTTGTGGAGGCATTCCTGGATTCACTTGGGCTCCTGCTGGAGCTTGTGGAGGTTGTCCAACGCTTCCTCCAGTGTAACCACTTGCCTGTCGAGTCGGAAGAGGCAACACAAGAGGCGTCACCACTTGCCGCGGTCTCCTGAGAGGTGAGCTGGACTGAGCACGTCCCTGGCCTCGAACACTCACCAAACTAGGGCTTCTTCCAGAATGCGTGGGCGTCTCACCAGGAACTCGGCTTCTTCCTCATGGGCTCCTTCTTCTCTCTCGGGAGTGCAAGCTAGAAAGTCGGACATTCACCCTCACAGCTCTTAAGCTTGGCCAACCACGCTCCGCTACCACGAAAAGTCTTGACACCGTTCAAGAGCTTCCAAAGGTTCTCCAAAACGTTGGTTCCAGTCAAAGCTCCCCAAGCTTCAACTAAGCAAGCAAAGCTGCCACTCGGACACTTTCTTTTTCTCACTCTCGCCTTGAGCCAAACAAGTCCAGTTCTTCTGAGCTCATGCTGCTGGCAAGAAACTGTATGTGAGTCCTTCACAGACAAACAAAAGCAAGGTCATGCAAACGTTCCCCTCAGAGTCTTCTGCATACTAAGCGCAACCAAGTGCATCTCAGGACACACTCAAAGGTCCAGGTGCTTCACATCTTACTCTCATCACTGAGGAACTTCTCGACCAAGCTCGAATTCACAAAGCTCAAGGTAAAACTCAAGCATGCTCCAAAACACTCATGCTCACAAAACATGCTCTCCACATGTCTTCGACATGCATCCAAACATGCCAGTGCAACTCAACAACAAAACTCCTGCAAGGTTCTTCTCCAAACTGAGTGTGTGTCGCTTCTGTTCGTCAAAACCAAAAAACAAGAAAAACCAACCACCAAGCAAACGAAGTCTCGCTCCATTGGTGATGAAATTCTTCAGTCTCCAAAGCCCCCCCCTTAAACCCCTTTAAGCCTCGCAAGAAAAGAGCCTGCAAACTTGGTAAATTGCAAACACACCTGTCGCGAGGGAAGTGGAATTTTAAAAAAAAATCCCTTCTCTCTTCTTGAAGGGAATGTTTGGCCGTCTCACTTCTCTGGTTTCGAAAAATGAAATCCAAAAAACAAAACAAGATTCAGGGGGGGAAATTAGAAACCCCCTCTCTCATCTTCAAAATTACTGTTTAGAGTCTCACTTCTCTGGCCTTGAAGATTGAAAAGGTTTCAGAGAGGTGGAATTTGGAATAACTTCGCACTAACTTTTTGTTTGTGATGTGTATTATGATTTTGTTTGTTGATATGAGAGGGTTTATTAAGACGAATGATGCATGGTGATAGCTCTTCCAGTGGGTATGGCAAAGCAAAAGGCCCCAGGGCAAGAACTTCGAGCATTGATGTGCCCGAGCACGAGACTGCATGGGCCGAGTTCTTCAAGCCGAATATCTTGTGGATAATGCTCATGATGTATCTTGGATATGCCCAGTGGATGCTGCAGCGAGCAAATCAGAAAAGCAGACGACTGAGAAATGCTCCTCTTGGAGATGCCGTGTCGCAGAAAAGATGCGTCAACAACAATGAACAGCAACGTGCGTATCCCATGGAAGACGAGGTTGGCAGCCACTGTGCCAAACAGGGTCTTTTTCCCAGCTTACTTTCTGAATAAGAGAGCTGTCTGCGTAAGGCCATTCTTTTTTGCTTTGGTTTTATTTTTTGGCTTTGGGCTTGGGAATGCGGTGGGCTAAGGTAACGGGGGAGGGGCCTAAGAGAGCATCTCTCCTGTGCTTCTACCTGCCTCTGTTTTGCGCAAACTTTGTGCCCCGCTTTAGCAAGCACTTGTGCCGTCAGTCGTCTAAGGCTTTCTGTTTTGAAAACTTTTGAAAGAGATGTTTCCAGACGCACACGGTGTTGTATTTACCATGTTTGCATTTAAGGCAGACCGCAACCAAGGGGATTAATTTTGATTTTGAAGAAAAGAGAGAAGGATTTTATTCCAAATTCCACCCCTCTGAAACCTTTTCAATCTTCAAGGCCAGAGAAGTGAGACTCTAAACAGTAATTTATCTTGAAGATGAGAGAGGGGGTTCTTCTAAATTCCCCCCCTCGAATCTTGTTTTGTTTTTTGGATTTCATTTTTCGAAACCAGAGAAGTGAGACGGCCAAACATTCCCTTCAAGAAGAGAGAAGGGAATTTTTTTAAAATTCCACTTCCCTCGCGCCGCAAGGCACACACAGGTGTGTTTGCAATTTACCAAGTTTGCAGGCTCTTTTCTTGCGAGGCTTAAAGGGGTTTAAGGGGGGCTTTGGAGCCAGACCCTTTGGAAGGCGCTTCTAAGGGGAGTTAAGGGGCTTAAGGGAGGCTTCAGGTGGGCTTAAGGGGGAGCTGAGGGGGCGGGCTTGAAGGGTTTGACCCTTTGCCTTCCCCGAAAAAAAGTCATTGCTTAAAGGGAGCGTGAAGGAGGGCTAAATGGAAGAAGAGAAGAGTCGAGAATTTTAAATTCCACCACCTTATCAGAGGGGGCTTCAGGGGGGGCTTTTGGGGGAGCTTAAGGGGGGGGCTTAAGGGGGAGCTTAAGGGGGGGTTTAAGTGGCTTCAGGAGAGGAGCTTAAAGGGTGTTGAAGGTGTTGAGACGCCCTTTTGGTTTAATTTTATTCTTTAAGAAAAGAGAGAAGGGATTTATTCTAAATTCCACCCCTCTGAAACCTTTTCATTCTTCAAGGCCAGAGAAGTGAGACTCTAAACAGTAATTTATCTTGAAGATGAGAGAGGGGGTTCTAAATTCCCCCCCCTCGAATCTTGTTTTGTTTTTTGGATTTCATTTTTCGAAACCAGAGAAGTGAGACGCTAAGCATTAACTTCCCTTCAAGAAGAGAGAGAAGGGAATTTTTTTAAAATTCCACCCCCCTCGCGCCGCAAGGCACACACAGGTGTGTTTGCAATTTACCAATGTTTGCAGGCTCTTTTCTTGCGAGGCTTAAGGGGTTTAAGGGGGGCTTTGGAGCCAGACCCTTTGAAGGCGCTTCTAAGGGGGAGTTAAGGGGCTTAAGGGAGGCTTCAGGTGGGCTTAAGGGGGAGCTGAGGGGGGGGGCTTAAAGGGTTTGACCCTTTGCCTCCCCCGAAAAAAGGTCATTGCTTAAAGGGAGCGTGAAGGAGGGCTAAATGGAAGAAGAGAAGAGTCGAGAATTTTAAATTCCACCCCCTTAGTCCTGAAGGGGCTTCAGGGGGGGCTTCAGGGGGGGCTTAAGGGGGGGCTTAAGGGGGGCTTAAGGGGGAGCTTAAGGGGGGCTTAAGGGGGGCTTAAGGGGGGGGCTTAAGGGGGGCTTAAGGGGGGGGGGCTTAAGGGGGGGCTTAAAGGGGGGGCTTAGGGGGGGGTTTAAGGGGGGGGCTTAAGGGCTTAAAGGGGGGCTTAAAGGGGGGGGGCTTCAGGAGTGGAGCTTAAAGGGTGTTGAAGGTGTTGAGACGCCCTTTTGGTTTAATTTTATTCTTTAAGAAAAGAGAGAAGGGATTTATTCTAAATTCCACCCCCCTGAAACCTTGTTGTTTTTTGGTTTCATTATTCGAGGCCAGAGAAGTGAGACTCTAAACAGTAATTTATCTTGAAGATGAGAGGGAAGGATTTATTCTAAATTCCACCCCCCTCGAATCTTGTTTTGTTTTTTGGACTTCTTTTTTCGAAACCAGAGAAGTGAGACTCTAAACATTAACTTCCCTTTAAGAAGAGAGAGAAGGGAATTTATTCTAAATTCCACCCCCCCTCGAATCTTGTTATGTTTTTGTATTTGTTTTTTTGATTTCACTATTCGAAACCAGAGAAGTGAGACTCTAAACATACATTTCAATCTTGCCCGGCTTTAAAAAAGCGGGGGGGTTGGGGGGGGCGCAGCCCCCCCCATTTGCAAACACGATGCTTGCATTATGGGCTTAACAAGCATTCCTATGCTTTGAAGCAAACCTCCCGGCTTACAACAAGGAGGGCCTCCAGAGAAGTGAGACGCTAAACATTAACTTCCCTTCAAGAAGAGAGAGAAGGGAGTTTTTTTAAAATTCCACCCCCCTCGCGCCGCAAGGCACACACAGGTGTGTTTGCAATTTTCCAATGTTTGCAGGCTCTTTTCTTGCGAGGCTTAAGGGGTTTAAGGGGGGCTTTGGAGCCAGACCCTTTGAAGGCGCTTCTAAGGGGGAGTTAAGGGGCTTAAGGGAGGCTTCAGGTGGGCTTAAGGGGGAGCTGAGGGGGGGGGCTTAAAGGGTTTGACCCTTTGCCTCCCCGAAAAAAGGTCATTGCTTAAAGGGAGCGTGAAGGAGGGCTAAATGGAAGAAGAGAAGAGTCGAGAATTTTAAATTCCACCCCCTTAGTTTCTTGTTATCCTGAAGGGGCTTCAGGGGGGGCTTCAGGGGGGGCTTAAGGGGGGGCTTAAGGGGGGCTGAAGGGGGAGCTTAAGGGGGGCTTATGGGGGGCTTCAGGGGGGGCCCTTTGCCTCCCCCGAAAAAAGTCATTGCTTAAAGGGAGCGTGAAGGAATGCTAAATGGAAGAAGAGAAGAGTCGAGAATTTTAAATTCCACCACCTTATCAGGGGGGGCTTCAGGGGGGGCTTAAGGGGGGGCTTAAGGGGGGGGCTTAAGGGGGAGCTTAAGGGGGGGTTTAAGTGGCTTCAGGAGAGGAGCTTAAAGGGTGTTGAAGGTGTTGAGACGCCCTTTTGGTTTAAATTTATTCTTTTAGAAAAGAGAGAAGGGATTTATTCTAAATTCCACCCCTCTGAAACCTTTTCATTCTTCAAGGCCAGAGAAGTGAGACTCTAAACAGTAATTTATCTTGAAGATGAGAGAGAGGGGGTTTCTTCTAAATTCCCCCCCCTCGAATCTTGTTTTGTTTTTCGGATAATAAATTTTTGAAACCAGAGAAGTGAGACGCTAAACATTAACTTCCCTTCAAGAAGAGAGAGAAGGGAGTTTTTTAAAATTCCACCCCCCTCGCTCCGCAAGGCACACACAGGTGTGTTTGCAATTTACCCCCCGGAGCTGGTTTTTTTCTTGGCCCCGGAAT